AAATAAATATTAAAAAAAAAAGAAAGAAATGTAGAGGAGCCTTGTACTTAGGGGAGATGTAAGCAGGAGAATCAAGAGTTCCCATCTTGATGAAACTGCAAATTCAAAGTACCTTCGTTCTGCTTATGTCTGTGGTCTTGGTGGTTATGATGATTTTAGGGGAGTATGTTTATCTCTATAGACTTCTTGTCATATATCCTGTGTATAACATTTTTGTTCAGTTAGACTTCAGTTGAGAATTTTTCTTTTAAATTTATGTATATGAGTGCTTTTCTGGCCAAGGAGGCCAGAAGAGGGCATTGGATCACCTCAAACCTGAGTTACTGATGGTTGTGAGCTGTCATGTGGGATCTGGGAAAGGAACCTGTTGTGTCCTATCTATAAAGAGCCATAACTCCAGCCCTCTCTGTTGTTCTTGAATTACTTTTTTGTATTTTTTTCTTTTAGATATTGAGTTTGGTCTAGAAATTGTATTACCCACATACTAAGAAATAAACTTTGATCTTGAATACATGTCTATTAGTTGATTGGATTTTTCTATTCTTTTTTTCTGTTTTTGTTTTTATTTTTCAAGACAAGGTTTCTCTGTGTAGCAGCCCTAGCTGTCCTGGAACTAGCTCTCGTACACCAGACTGGCCTCGAACTATAACAGAATCTACCTTCCTCTGCCTCCCAAGTGCTGGAATTAAAGGTGTATACCGCCACTATCCAGCTTCTTTTGTTTTTTATTTTAGGAAAGACCTCATTTATCCTAGGCTGTCCTCAAACTGGTGATCCTCCTTGGCTTCTGAGTGTTGGGACCATAGGCAGGCACATCACACCTCATTGTTACTCTGTCCTTGTAGGTTGATTTTTGCCTGTGTTTTACAAATGAGCAAACAAATGTGCAGAATAGTTAAATAACTTGTCTAAATTGACAAATAATGTGTGGCAGAGCAAGTGCAGGGTCTTTCAAACTCTTAAGGCCTGGAAAACAAAAGTATTATTGCTATAGTGGAATGGTAATGAACTGTATGTTCATTTATATTTAAATAGTAATTTTTGTTTTCTTTATTGGAATACTTCTCAGCTGGTCAAGTAACATTGGGACTGGAGAAAGAACAAAAGTCTATAATTTACTGTGATTACTTAGAAACAGCCATCATGCCCCGCCTTTATAAAAAAATCTATTATTTTTAGAGTTTTTTTATTTGTGTCAGTGCTCATGCAGTCCAAAAGACTTCTTTGGTTCCTTGAAGCATTAAAGGCAGTTGATCACTGCTTTGATTTGATTTGATTGATTGAGAATTATGCTGTGGGTGCTGAACTCAAGATTTCTGGAAGAGCAGTGTGGGTCCCTAATAGCTGAGACATCTCTAGTCACCTATGTGTTTTTTTGTTGCTGGAGATTTTGATTTGTTTTATCTTTCATATCTCTTTTCTCCATCTCACTGTGTTAATTTAGATAAATGCATATACTTTTTTTGGTTTTCTTTTTGTTTTGGGTTTTTTCTTTTTTAAAAAAAATATTTATTTATTTATTTATTTATTTATTTATTTATTTATTTATTTATTTATTTTACAACATTCTGCCTCCATGTGTGCCTGCAGGCCAGAAGAGGGCACCAGATCTCATTACAGATGGTTGTGAGCCACCATGTGGTTGCTGGGAATTGAACTCAGGACCTCTGGAAGAGCAGTCACTGCTCTTAACCACTGAGCCATCTTTCCAGCCCCCTCTAGCCAGCTTTTTATAAGGTTTATTATGTATCAAACATTCTGCCTCCATGTATGCCTGCAGACCAGAAGAGGGCACCAGATCTCATTACAGATGGTTGTGAGCCACCATGTGGTTGCTGGGAATTGAACTGGGGACCTCTGGAAGAGCAGTCACTGCTCTTAACCACTGAGCCATCTTTCCAGCCCCCTCTAGCCAGCTTTTCTAACTTAAATTATCCTATTTCTCTCTTACCCGAGCTTTTGCCTCTGAACTTTTTGCCTTTCTTTATTCTTTTCTTTTTATTTATTATGTATACACACACCATATCTAATTACAGATGGTTGTGAGTCACCATGTGGTTGCTGGGGATTGAACTCAGGACCTCTGGAAGAGCAGCTGGTGCTCTTAACCTCTGAACCATCTCTCCAGCCCCTACCTTTCTTTATCTTATTTTATGTATATGTTTAGGTCCTCCATATATATTATATGTGTACCAAGTGCATGCCTTGTGCTTAAGGAAGCCAGAAGAGGGTAGCAGATTTCCCTGGAACTGGGGCTACAAGTGACTGTGAATCATCTTCTGCAAGAGCAATAAGTAATGTTAACCATGAGCCATTTCTCTGCCCCCTTAGACCCCCTTTTCTCCCTACTCCCAGACAGGGTTTCTCTGTGAAACAGTCCTGGCTATCCTATATCTCACTCTGTAGACCAATTTTCTCAAACTCAGAGATCTGCCTGCCTCTGCCTTGCAACTGCTGGGTTTAAAGACATGCACAACCACTGCCCAGCCTTCCTCCACATTTTTTAAAGGAAATAATTAATATTCTGCTTACCATACATGCTATCAAGGGGCACAACATCTTTTGTTCTGTCTTAGAAGCAAGATACATGCTTGCTTATATACATTGTCTTGAGTCTGATCACTAATATGAATTTCTGTATGTTACTGGGCAGTGGTGGTGGTCACCTTTAGTCCCAACACTTGGGAGGTGGAGGCAGGCAGATGCCTGAATATGAGGCCAGCCTGGTCGACAAAATGAGTTGCAGGATAGCCAGGAAGGCTACACACAGAAACTCCAGAAAACAAACAAACACATTTATGCATGTTAAAATGTTTATGTTACAATATCATGACTTGCAGTAAGTTGTAGAAAGAGTACCAAACTTTATAAGGAAATCCAAATTCAGGTCTAGTACCTGCACTTAACATATATAACTTAAAGCTAATCACTAATGATACAGTTACAATGTGTCTTGAGTATAATGAGGATTTTATATATTCTTACATATAAAAGATTCTTACTTTATAGGCTTGTTGAAGATCAAATAACATGTTGTATGTTTAAATGTTTATAGAGAGTTATGTGTATTTAGAAGTTTTTTTTTCCCTGTCAGTTCAATTTTGTGGGGAAGATTCTTGGACCACAAGGAAATACAATCAAAAGACTTCAAGAAGAGACTGGCGCAAAGATCTCTGTCTTGGGAAAGGGTTCAATGAGAGACAAAGCTAAGGTAAGTTCATGTAGTGAGGCAAAATAAAACCAATTGCTCTCTAGTTGCATAGTGTCTGATATGGATGCTTTGTGCAAGCAAACATTTTGGAGTTTGTTTAGGGTTTGACACCATGTCTCACTATGTAGCTTTGGTTGGCCCGCAACTTACTATGTATGTAGACTAGGTTGGTTTCCAAGATTTGCCTGTTTCTGCCTCCCATGTGCTGGGATTAAAGACATTCACCATTATCTTTAATCATGTGCTCTCCAGCATACAAAATAAGGCTATTGTAAAGTTTTCGTTGCATATAAGCACTCATTTGGTAATGTTGGGAAGAGCCTAGATATGCCCTCATTATTTTTTGTAAAGCTGTGCTTACTTTATGTATATGGATATTTTGTCTGTATGTACATCACATCAGAAGAGGGCATCAGATCCTTTAAAAACTAGAGTTATAGACAAATATGAGCCATTCTGTGGTGTGAGAATTTAATTCAGGACCTCTGGAAGAACAGCCTTTACCTATCACACACACAATCCCACACACACACCCTCCCTCCCAGGCTGCATTATGATACAATTAAATAGCATTGTTAGCTTTGATAAGCTTATCTCTAAAAACTTAAAATGAGAACTGGATACTAAACTTGAAGATTGAACACACAAAAATGTGACCAGTGCACCCTGTTTTCCAGGGATAGGAACTAATGAGACCACTGGTGTTAAGTGCTGATGAGTTTGTGGTTAGATCATTTGATTTCTAGACAACAGGAATGTTCCAAAAAGAAAATATTCCATTTCATAGCTCCTTACATAGTGAACTTTTAGCTGAGAAGAAACTTACTGCTACACATAATTCCCTTCTAGGGCCAGGTGGCTTTCTTGCTTTATTTATTTAGCATATAACATTCTGCCTCCATTTATTTATTTATTTATTTATTTATTTATTTATTTATTTATTTATTTATTTTACAACATTCTGCCTCCATGTGTGCCTGCATGCCAGAAGAGGGCTCCACATCTCATTACAGATGGTTGTGAGACACCGTGTGGTTGCTGGGAATTGAACTCAGGTCCTCTGGAAGAGCAGTCAGTGCTCTTAACCACTGAGCCATCTCTCCAACCCTTAGGGTCAGCTTTTTAGACGAGATTTACCTGCTAAAATCTAGAAATTCATTTATTGAGGACCTAACGTGTGTGTGTGTATGTGTGTGTTATTTTATTTATTTTTATTTTATGTGCATTGGTGTTTTGCCTGCATATATTTCTGTGTGAGGGTGTCAGATCTTAGAATTACAAACAGTTGTGAGCTGCCATAAGGATGCTGGGAATTAACCACTGAGCCATCTCTGCAGCCCAAGGGCCTAACTTTTGGGTAGTGTTTTTCCTTCTGTCTCTCTAGGATACATAGTACACCATGTTGTTTTAGTTGATGAGATTTGTAAGAGTTTCTACTGTCCTGACTTAAACTCCTAGGCAATAAAAACACATAAGAAGGGTTGATGGTGATAAAGAGCTCTAATGAATTTAAAAACTAATGCTTGGCCATAAACACATACACTAAATTACCAAACAACTATTATCTGAGTAGATTCTAAAATTAAGCTTTAATAGGTTGTTCCTTCAAATTCACTGCATTGAATGCTCCAGTGTTTAAGGGAACAGTTAACCAAGTATAAATTTTTTTTAAATATTTATTTATTATGTATACAATATTCCATCTGTGTGTATGCCTGCCGGCCAGAAGAGGGCACCAGACCCCATTACAGATGGTTGTGAGCCACCATGTGGTTGCTGGGAATCGAACTCAGGACCTTTGGAAGAGCAGTCACTGCTCTTAACCACTGAGCCATCTCTCCAGCCCCCTTTTTTGGTGTTTTTTCGAGACAGGGTTTCTCTATGGCTTTGGAGCCTGTCCTGGAACTAGCTCTGTAGACCAGGCTGGTCTCGAACTCAGAGAGATCCGCCTGCCTCTGCCTCCCGAGTGCTGGGATTAAAGGTGTGTGCCACCATCGCCCGGCTTGTGGTTGGTTTTTCAAGACAGGATTTCTCTGTAGCTTTGGAACCTGTCCTGGAACTCTCTGTAGACCAAACTGGCATCGAACTCACAGAGATCTGTCTTCCTCTGCCTCCTGAGTGCTGGGATTAAAGGTGTGCTGCCACCACCCAGCTAACCAAGTATAGTTTTAGCTGGTACTGTTAAGTTTCAGTTTCCAGGACTTGATTTACCTTCCTTCTTAGGATTTCAGGGTTTTTTTTGGTTTTGTTTTTGTTTTGTTGTTGTTGTTGTTGTTTTGCATATTATTTCTGACTGTCCCTTTGACCTAGTGTTAAAGGTGTTGTTTTCTTTTAGTCTGTATATGATTTAATATTACTTTGCATTTTTCCATAGGAGGAAGAGCTTCGCAAGGGTGGAGACCCCAAATATGCCCATTTAAATATGGATCTGCATGTCTTCATTGAAGTCTTTGGACCCCCATGTGAGGCTTATGCTCTTATGGCCCATGCCATGGAAGAAGTCAAGAAATTTCTAGTACCAGTAAGGAAATGCATATTCTTTATTATCTGAGCAAGGAAGAAACAGGATCATACTGTTGAGAAAGCCCGGGTTCCTGACTAGGGTCTGTACTTGGTTCATTTTTCTGAGGTTTTCCCACTATTTACACCTCATTCTCAAAGCACTGTTTTCCAAAGCCTACTTGTTTCATTAATGTGTACTGTTATCTATTGTCAATATTTTGGGTCCCTGAAGTATTTACAATCTGTTTAACAAAGATTTAATAAGGTCTTTATTCAGTTTAATGTTTTGGTACTACTGTTGAGCCAGGAGACATGATATTAGGAAAATGACTTAAGGTAAATCTGCAAATTTGTGTGCTAGAATTTTGAATCTAGAGTTGACAACAGGAAGTTTATAGCATTCATTGTTCTAATGTGGCTCACTGAAGGGTTCTTTTGGCGAAGGTTCCCCCCACCCCACCCCCCAGAGTCCGGTTTAGAAGATACCATGTTACATGCATGACTATTGATGATATGGAAATTTTCTTTCTTAATTGTTTGAGACAGGGTCTCACTATGTATTTCTGCCTGACCTGAAACTCACTGTGTAGACCAGGCTGGTCCCTAACTTGCAGAAATCTATCTGCCTCTGCCTCCTAATTAGTGGGATTAAAGATGTGACCCACCATACTTAGAAAATTGTTTATAATAGTGTCACCTGATTATAGTACAAGCTAATAGTATGTAAAAGTGTCACCTGATTGTAATACAGGTTAAGTATCAGTTGTCTGAACTGTTCTAGAATGTTTGGGAATTCCCCGCCCTCCTGATTTTAGAGTTTTTCCTAATGTAGAAGAAAGTGTCTTGAGAATAGGACTCCAGTCTTAACAAAACACTGGTTTTTTTTTTTTTTGTTTGTTTGTTTTTGTTTTGTTTTTTGGTTTGTTGAGAACCTTAATGTTGCCCAGCCTGGCCTTGAATTTGCTATGTAGCCAAGGGTACCCTTGAATTCATTGATCTTCATGCCTCTGATTTGCTATTAAAGGTGTGCACTGCCACACCTGATTTGGTGTGTTAGGGATCTAACCCAGGGCTTGTTCATGTATGTTGTAGGCAAGCACTCTACCAACTGAGCTAATTCTCCAGCCTCCCCCCAACTCATTCATATTTACTAAATACTTTATAGTAGACTGAAATTTATCTTATTTAACAAATGTGACAGTTGGAGATACCTGAGCATTGAGTCTATCCAGTCTTAAGTGGCAAAAATGTATAAGGCTGAGGAAAGTAGGGAGCTGTAGGAGACATTGCTCTACTAACTATGTCACTTTTGCTTTATTTGTTTTGGTTTCCAACACAGGGTTTCTCTGTAGCCCTGATTGTCCTGGAGCTCACTCTGTAGACCAAGCTAGTCTCAGACTCGCAGATAACTCTAGTCTCTACCTCCCAAGTACTGGGATTAAAGGCATGTGCCACCTTGCCTGACTTTTCTTGAATAACTTTTAATTTCACTTTTCTTCTTTTTTTTTTCTTTGGGTGTGTGTTGGAAGAGTTGGTGAGACAGATTTTTTCTGGGTAACTGTCTTGGAACTCGCTTTGTAGACCAGGCTGGCCTTGAATTCATTGATATCAGACTTTTTCTGCTTCCCAAGTGCTGGGATTAAAGACGTGCGCCGCCACCACCCAGCTAATTTCACTTTTCTAAGATATGGGCTGCTTGTTTACCCCAAATGTTAAGTAGTAATAGATGAGTAATAAATTGCGCTTGGGTCTAAAGATAGAAAAATGGCTCTTGAGGTTGGGGAGATAAACTCAGTTCATAAAACACTTGTGATCAAGCTTATGAATCTGGGTTGGATCCCCAAGCACCAATATGAGAGCTTGTCATGGTAGAGCATACATCACATTGCTGGGGAGACAGGAAGACCTGTGGAGCTTAGTCAGTCTAGCCCAGTGAGTGAATGAGCTCCAGATTCAGTGAGAGACCTTGTCTGACTAAGGTGGAGAAGCAATTGAGAAAATGAACCTCTGATTCCACATTGATGTACATGCTATGGCTCTTGAAAATCTCAATCTTAAGTGGAAAGCTACATTTTAGGGGAAAAGGTGTGGTTAGGCAACATCAGAAAAAGAAGGTCCTCCCCTTCCTCCCTTTTGTGGCAGCATTAGGAATTTTACTCAGGGCTTTGTGTGTACACTAGGCATACCTTCTACCACCTAGTTGTACCCCTCTCCTTTGTGTCTTGTAAGAGTCAGAGTTCCAAATTATACCATGAGGCAATGTTGGCAGGATCATCTTGACAGTTAAATAAAAATTTCAAAACTTACTGTATAGCACCCAGTACCTAGAGCCTCATTAATGGTGGCTTCTGTTATTCTAGGAAAAGTAACTGTTTACAAAGAATGTATGTGTGAGAATATTCCAAGCTATAGGTTGTTTTTTTTTGACTTAAGAGAAAGTTTTTGTATATATAGAGAAAAGAAGTGATCCAAGGGAACTACTTTCTGAAGAGCCTCGTCTATCAGTAAGGATCTGTTGTCCACATCTTCCTCAAAGAAGTAACAGTATAATTTGACTTCAGAGAACTAATTACTTGACTTGGGACATCACCTAGGCTTTTAATACTGTTCTTTTTCAGGTGGTATTTTGAGACAGAGACTCAATATATAACTCATACTGTTCCAGAACTCAAAACTATATGGTTCAGGGTGGCCTTAATCTCACAGAGATCCACAGTCTCTGCCTCTGAGAGTGCTGGGAGTCAAGGGTGTTCTTAAGATCTAAGGCTCATGTGGATGAGTTTTAGAAGATGTTACACATTCTTTGCTGTCTTTAATTCCCAGGATATGATGGATGATATCTGCCAGGAGCAGTTTCTAGAATTGTCCTACTTGAATGGAGTTCCTGAACCCTCTCGTGGTCGTGGGGTACCAGTGAGAGGACGAGGAGCTGCCCCGCCTCCTCCACCTGTTCCCAGGTAAAAAAAAAAAATAGTTGAAAAGGAAATAAAAATGTGACTGCTGGTAGTCTTCTTAGCTCTATCTAGACCAGGAGGCGTCAGGGTTTGTATGGTATATCAAGTATAGAATTCTGGATCTTAGCAGTTTGACCATAGATAAGTGTTACAGTGCTACTGAAATGTTGGAGCTTCTAATTTTGGACAGTACAAGCATTAAAAAAATTTTATGTATTTATTTGTGAGCTTTGGAGATTCATATGTAGGTGTGGAAGTTAGAGGATAAGGAATAGGAGTCCTATCATGTGGGTCTTAGGGATTGAACTCAAGTTGTAAGTCTTAATCAGCTGTGTGCTTACCCACGAAGCCATCTCACTGGCCCCCTAGTTGTTTTTTTTTCACTGTGTAGTCCTATGTAACCCTCACTGACCTGGAACTTGCTACGTAGAACAGGCCAGTCTGAAACTTAGGAGAGATCTCCTATTTCTGCCTCCTAAGTGCTGTGACTAAAGTCATAAGCCACCAAACCTGGCTATCTGGTATGACTTCAGAATAGTCTAGACTTGCCTGAGGTACTGTGATCTACTATTGCACCCAGAGAATCTGCTAGTTTAGGTTCTCTTTCATGTATATTATTCTGTGCTTTAAAGTCTAGTTGAGGGTTGGGGATGTGCCTAGCATACACAAATCTCTGGGTTTGATCCCTAGTACTTCACAAACAGGCTGTGGTGTTACCTGGGCAGTAAGTGCTAGAAGTTAGAAGTGCAAGAAAGTCATCTTCAGCTACATAGTTTGTTCAACACCATACTGGGTTATATGAAACTCTATCCCCCAAAAAGGAAAGGAAAAGTAAAAAGGGCAAAGCAAGAGATACAGTCTCTGTCTTATCAAGTGTGGCCACAGAGCCTCCCTTTAAGAAAGATAAATTAGCTGGCATATACCTTTAATCCCAGCACTCTAGAGGCATTGCCAGGTGGATTTGTATGAGTTCTAGGCTAGCCAGAGCAGCAAGGGATACCTTATCTCAAATAAGTGAGCAAGTATGTGTAAAACATGAAATCTTTTTAGCTCCAGAATTTGTGAACAACCCTGAACATGAATATGACTTGATTATTAAAAGATCAAATTAAAGCCGGGCGGTGGTGGCGCACGCCTTTAATCCCAGCACTCGGGAGGCAGAGGCAGGCGGATCCCTGGTCAACAAGAGCTAGTTCTAGGACAGGAACCAAAAGCTACAGAGAAACCCTGTCTCAAAAATCAAAAAAAAAAAAAGATCAAATTAATACAAATTTTCTTTTTGTAGAGGTCGTGGTGTTGGACCACCTCGAGGGGCTTTGGTTCGTGGGACCCCAGTGAGAGGTTCCATTACCAGAGGTGCTACTGTGACTCGAGGAGTGCCACCCCCACCCACTGTGAGAGGTGCCCCAACACCAAGAGCTAGGACCGCAGGCATCCAGAGAATACCTTTACCTCCACCACCTGCACCAGAAACTTACGAAGACTATGTAAGAATGTTTTGAACAATGTATTATTTTTCCTCCATACTTAGGTTGCCAGGGAAAGTTGAGTGTCTTATCCAGGTGTGTAGGTAGAAAACAGTACCTGCATTCTTGTTTACGTTGATTTTGAACTATGAGATGATTTTTCTTCTATTTTGCTTTCATTATTGCTATCTCTATATAAGGTAAATGAGAAGTTGTGGTTTGACATACAGATTTTTACTAAGAGATTGTTGTTTGTAATGCTAAATTACATTTGATTTTTGTTTTGTCTTTCGTCACTCTTCTGCAGTGGATCTTAATATTTTTGAGAAAATTTTCATGGCCTGTTCATTCAGAAGCGCATGATCCCCCCGCCCAATGGGTTGTAATTATCTTCTCTATTATATGTAATTCTGACCTAATTTATTTGTTACAGGGATATGATGATACATATGCAGAACAGAGTTATGAAGGATATGAAGGCTATTACAGCCAGAGCCAAGGGTGAGTCGATAGTATACTATATAGTGTCCTAGATAGATGGTGGGTGGAGTTGGAGGAACTAAAGATTTGGGCAAATACTGAGCTCTAGAGTAGTCTGACTTAACATTTTGAAGGTATTGTATTGCCTCTGCTTTTGACAACTTGAAGGCATATAGGTGGGCCTGCAAATTTGAATAACTGCATTTTATATAATAGTTTAGGATTTGGGGCTAATGAAAAATTCCTGAGCTATGGCTATATAGAAGCATTGAGAAAATGCCATTAAATAATTCTTTTATTAAGAAATAATAATTTCGGGGCTGGAGAGATGGCTCAGCGGTTAAGAGCATTGCCTACTCTTCCAAAGGTCCTGAGTTCAATTCCCAACAACTACATGGTGGCTCACAACCGTCTGTAATGAGGTCTGGTGCCCTCTTCTGGCCTTCAGGCATACATGCAGAAAGAATATTGTACACATAGTAAATAAATAAATAATTTTTTTTTTAAAGAAACAATTTCTTAATTATGGGAGGAAGTAGCTTAGTTGGTAGGTAGGCTGTGCCTGCCTTGCATGTGTGAAGTCCTTAGTTTGATCTCAGCATGGGACCATGAGTTCAAGAACAGCCTGGGATACAGGAGACTTTGTCTCATTACAGACAAATCAACTCACCCCACCCACATTGAAGATGCGTTTAGTCTTAAGAGCAAGCTAGAAACTTAACCTAGGTGTTTTGTTTTTGTTTTTAATTTCTTTAAAACACAGCTTTCAGTGTGTGTGTGTGTGTGTATATACATATATACATACACATGTGTATATATACATACATACATCCTGTTTGCCTCAGGCATCTATAATAGGCACAAAACAGGCCTTTTCCAATACTCTTCTGGTGAGCTATATGAATACATATATAAATACATGCAAAAATCTGAGAGTTTGGTTTTCTACATTAAGTTGTATGATATTTGTTTTTGTTCTTCTTGCTATGCATAACCAGACTTTTGGTAAATACATGGTTTATGCATGTTTTTTAAATATTGGGGTGGTTAGGGGTGGGACAGAACATATATTTCCCCCTATTTTATAGATTATAAACTCACCAGATATGGAATATTTGAAAGAATGCTAAAACCAAAGCTTTTAATGTTCTGGTTTTTTGGTTTTTTTTGGCTTTCCAGGGAGTCAGAATATTATGACTATGGACATGGGGAGGTTCAAGATTCTTACGAAGCTTATGGTATGTTTTTATTTCTGTGCTGGGGTAAAATGTACAAGTAAGTGTCTAGAAAAATACTGGCTGATGGGTTCTTGGAAGTCAGGCAGGCAGTCACACCTAAGGAACAGTAGAAGCTTGCCGCATTGGTAAATGGAACTTTAAAGAGTTCTTAAGTTTTATGGTGCTATGTGTCTTGGACTCAGTTCTATCTTAGCTGGACTGGTATACTTCTCAGGGGATGCTGGTTTCTGATAGGTAGGACATGCCTAACCCAGAGCTGGTTTTGGAGCTTTTGCTACTGAAGCCGTGGTCATGTTGAGAGATAGAAGAACTTGCTTGTCTAACTCTACTCTCCTGCCCCTCCCTCATCTAAAAAAAATGAATTTACTGAAAATACTAAGTGTAGAAGAAAATACCAGCTGAAAGCAGTTCGTTAAAGCAGATTAGAAGGCAAAGTAGTACTGGTTAGAATCAAATCAGAGACTTCAGGGGAGCTAAGTCACATCAGTAGTAGCACCAAACTCCTTCCTAGTTGGAAGACGTCTTAAGTCAAATTTCTTCCTCTGCTGGGATTACAGCTTGTTCTACCATGTCTGGTTTTATGGGATATCTAGGGATGGAACTCAATACTTCTTGTCTGCTAGACAAATACTCCTATCACCTGAGCTTCATCCCCAGACCTCAGCTCAGTTACTGATCACATAAAGCAGTTCAGGCTGGGAAGGTAGCAAAACCCAAGCTGACTTCCCTGAGGTTTGGTTGAAAACACATTGCTCAGTTGTGTCTTTAAGAGCTAATTATAGCTTTGTGCTAATGGGTCTCTGAGGATATTTGTATGCAGTGAGAACAGCCTTCATAAACAGAGGGCTTCTGCATCACTGAAGAATTCTGAGGGGTTTTAGCTGCTAACTGTTTGAACTATCTTAAAGTACGCCATAGAGCCAGGCAGTGGTGGCACACACCTTTAACCCCAGCACCCAGGAGGCAGAGACAGGTAGATCTCTGTGAGTTCAATGCCAGGTTGGTCTACAGAGGGAGTTCTAGGGGAATCAGGGCAGAGAAAACATTCTGGGGAAAAAAAAAAAAAAGAACAGAACAAATCAACAACAAAAAAAGATACTACAGAGAGTTAGAAAAAGGAATCTAGTGGGTCCTCTCATAAGACACTAAGCTTAACCTATTGGCATGATATGACATAGCCAATTAGATCCTGATCCCCAAAAAACAATTTTGACCAGTTTTAGCTAATTTAGTACTGCACTATTGCTATAGTAACATTGTAGCACTCCACTCCTGTGTCATTGTTTAGATGGATTGGTCATTGTGGCTCACTATTTCCCTCTATCAGTGAGGCAATAAGGAGTTTCTGTATGTGTCTGGCAAAACTGTATTTCTATTCTACTGGAGAAAGGACTGAACTAAAGAGGCTGAAACCCAGCCTGGTGGCTCTTAGCAGCTGGGAAGGAAGTAGAAAGAGGAAGATCAGAAACTCAAGGTCATTGTCCCCGATATACCAAATTTGAAGGCAGTGTGACCTACAAGAGATCCTAGTTCAAAAAAAGAGAGAGAGGTGCATACTGCATCCCAGGCACTTAAGATTAAGGCAGGAGAAGTGTGAGTTTGAAATCAGTTTAAGCTACATACTGACTTCAAATGTGTTCTAAGATGAGGTACATATTGAGATGGTGTCTCTAAAAATAGACAGGCTATTATTCTTGTGTTCCTGGTATGCTGTTGCCATGATCAGTGTGTTCTGGTATGTGCCTTTCTAAAGAGAATTAGAAGCATAAACTTTTCTGTTTGTACCTAGGAGCATCTTGCAAATAGATGGGCCTTGCATATTGTACTAGGAGCATAGGTAGAATTCTATGTAATTTTTGATCCATACAGAAAAGTAAGACCTGTAGTAATGTACCTAGAATTTACATGTAGGCATGAATTGGTACAGCACAGGTGAGGAAATTAGTGGGAAGAATAAGAGGTCATCTATAGAAGTAAGTGATCATCTCAGGCTTCGCTGTCACACAAAAAAACAAAACCTTTTGAGATTGTTAGCGCTTGTCAGGGCTGTTGGCATGAGAAAAGAACTAAAAATTCTTAGCAGAGAATTATCCCCTAGTGTTTGAGTTCCATGTCATGGTAGAGGGTTTCATTTAATGTGGCCTCCTTTGCTTCCCTAGAACCAGAGTACGTTTTTCCACAGTAAAAACCTGTCTTGCTCTTGCATTGAAAGGAGCTACCTGCAAAGTGAAAAACTTGGTCAGATGTTTTGCCATGTTAACTGAGGAATGAGTGCCAGATGGGTTTGGGAACAGGAATGGTCATTGCAGACTCCCTGAAATTAATGACTTCTTTACTGCCTCAAACTGTGTTGCATTTATCCAGGTTTGAGACTGGGTATCATTCATGTTGCTGTTCAAGAGAACTGTATAGTAAAAGTTAGCATTTTCTGAATTACTCCCTTTTGTTTTCTACTCAAAATGGTAGGAAATTACCCATACTTATCAAGGAAGGCCAAGTAAAGAGGAGAGCAAGGAACACCAGGAATGTATCAAGATAGTAGAAGACAAACAGTATTGTTGGTGATACATACCTGATGTTGACCTACCCTGGTTATGCCCCCCAAAAAATGGGCCCATGGTTTATAAACTGTTTTTGTTTTTCCACAGGACAAGATGACTGGAATGGGACCAGGCCATCACTGAAGGCCCCCCCAGCTAGGCCAGTGAAGGGATCATACAGAGAGCACCCATATGGACGTTATTAGAAACAAACAGGAGGGGAAAATATCAGTTATGAGCAAAGTTGTTACTGATTTCTTGTATCCCAGGATTCCTGTTGCTTTACCCACAACAGACAAGTAATTGTCTAAGTGTTTTTCTTCGTGGTCCCTTTCTTTTCCCCACCTTCCTCCATTCTTAACTCTGCATTCTGGCTTCTGTATGTAGTATTTTAAAATGAGTTAAAATAGATTTAGGATATTGAATTAATTTTTTAAGTGTGTAGATGCTTTTTTCTTTGTTGTTTAAATATAAACAGTGTACCTTTTATAATAAAAAAAGAAGTTGAGTAAAAAAAAAACACAAACATGTTAGTTTCAAAAGTGGCATTGCTTGCTTAAAGGTTCTGAAGTAAAGGCTTGTTAACTTTTTCTTAGTTTTGATTTGAGGCACCCCCGTAAAGTCATAGTTGCAGAATCCCAAACTAGGCTACATTTCAAAATTCAGGGCTGCTTAAGATGTAAAATCACAATGTTAACGGCAGTAGGCACCACCATGTAAAAGTGAGCTCAGACGTCTCTAAAACATTTCCTTTAAAAGCACATGGCGGTTGAATCTTAAGGTTAAATTTTAATACGAAAGATCCTCATGAAATAAATAGTTGATGCAATTTTTAACGTTAATTGACTTAAAACAACAACAAAATTAGGTTTGTAAAACTGACTTTTTCTTTACGTGGGTTTTGAAATCTAGCCCCAGACATACAGTGTTGAGAGATACTTAGTGGGGGGAGGGGTAGAGATTGACTAAGAATGATGGGGAAGAGGAGCTGGCCACCTAAATGGAATTTGATGGAGTACTTTTTAGCCACAATCTTTTCAGTAATAGTACTGATAATCAAATTTTCAGTATTTAAGATGTCAGAGTATTTTGTCCATTTGAGAGTCTGCACTCCATGAAAAACTCACTTGGACACTGGGGCCAAAAGCTGATGATGTTCATTAAATTGACCGTTGTCAATTTTGAGCTGTTCCCAAGGTAGTCAAGTATGTCTCAACACTAGCATGATATAAAAAGGGACACTGCAGCTGAATGAAAAAGGAATCAAAATCCACTTTGTACATAAGTTAAAGTCCTAATGGATTTGTACCGTCCTCCCATTTTGTTCTCGGAAGATTAAATGATACATGTGTTAAGTCTGCCTAAATAGGTAGCTTAAACTTATGTCAAAATGTCTGCAGCAGTTTGTCAATAAAGTTTAGTCCTTTTTTAATCAAAGTAAATGTGATGAATTGTCATTTTTGGGGGTGGACAATAAAATAGTTTTCTCTTTCACATAAACTTAAATTAACTCTAAAGTTAATGGGCTTGTTAAAAGTTGGAGACATTCTTAAAAGTGGTGGTGGGGATTTTGTTTTTTAAGTTTACCAAAAAAAAGTTTATGAGTTGTTAAGTTTTAGTTTAAAAAGAACCAAAGCTTTTTCACCCCCTGGAAGTTGTTGAAAGCAGTTTTATCCAATCCTATCACAAAATTAATTTTTAGAAAAACCCAACTGACTAAATCACAGATTGGTTTTCATGTAAAGGTACTTTAAGTGCCAGCCACCCTAGCTTGCACCTTCTGTAGAACCCTTAGGTGGCCTTAAAAAATGACACCAAATCTCTGGGCGCAGATATTGATTTCACTTGCATTCAGATACACAATTCAGTAAAACCTGGGTGCCCTTGAGGGTTTCCCTTCCAATTCTAGAGATGCTGTCAACAATTCAGCTGGCTCGGGGCAGGAGCTGGTAGAGTAGGCTGGTCCTAAACTCCTTCCCACAAGACTGCATGTAAGAAAATGGAATTGGTTGGCTCTGTTTCACTCTCAATTCCCAGGGACCTCATTCCTTCCCTAGGAGCCACATAAACTGCTCGGGGGTGAAAAATCCTGTGTCAAGTGCCAAGCTGCCTGTAGCAGTGCATGATGGGCATTTTTGTTTCTTTAAAACACACCAACAAAAAATGTATTTATAGATTGTGATAAAGTGTAAATAACTGAATTTTCAACCATGGTTTGAAGTCAGCTTTCAGGGCATTATGTCTTGTTTTGATGAAAAGAGATCACTCTATACCCCCCTTTTTAAAGGAAAATTATCGCAAGAGAATCAGGATGTGTAAAGCTAACATGCATCGCAAAAAACCAAAGGTAACCTAAATGTCTGATTTTAATAGCACATATTTCTCTTTTATATAAACTGTGACAGCAACTTGCATAAACAATTCTTTAGTTGTTAATTTTAATGTTAAAACTTTGCAAAAATTGTTTAAAAATAGCTGTAAAAAGAAAAACCATATGCTGCCACATAAATTCTCCATAACTCTTAATAATCCTGCCCATCACAAGTGAACTGTAATGTAACCTGGGCACAAATTCTGACATCTTAAATGACACAGTGTAAAATTTCAATGACTATAGATGAGAAGACCTGCTGCACCCCAGAGTAAAGCTTTCTGCTCAGCTGTTTTAAAATATATAAGGATGAGCCCCCTAAGACACCATATCTATTTACAGTGCAATGTTATTTGAATTTTCTGAAAAGTTGCATGTTTCTTTCCTGTAATGTGTAAACTGCATGCAGGATCTCTCTCTGATTTTGTATGTCTTTACAGCTTCTAAAGACTCATCCCTGATTTCTCAATTTTCAGGTAACTGAAAATTCCTGAGGCTTTTCCTGGAATAGAATGGGTATCGAAGACCCATGTCAGGTATGTTAAGGTGGTTTTCATTGAGGATGGTAGATGTGTCGTAATGGCAAAGCAGTAGTGCTAGGAGGTTAACAGGTCGGTCTTTCCTAAACTCGCTTCTACCATACTAATCACACTTCTGTGTCAGCTTACCGAACTTCAATGGGTATGTGTGATAGTTAAGACCAGCCCGTGTCCAGGTGGTGGTGCACACCTTTAATCCCAGCCTTCTGGAGGCAGAGGCAGGCGGATCTCTGAGTTTGAGGCCAGCCTGGTCTACAGAACCACCCGAGTGTGGGGATCAAAGGCATGCACCACCATGCCCGGCATTTGTATAACTAAGTCCTCCTTGTATCATCAATCAACTCTACATGCAAAAGAAAAAAAAAGAAAAAAGAAAAAGAAAAAAAAAAGAAACTATCAACTCTACATGGGGAAAAAAAAAAGAAACTAAGCCTGGCGGTGGTGGTGCACGCCTTTAATCCCAGCACTCGGGAGGCAGAGGCAGGAGGACCTCTGAGTTCAAAGCCAGCCTGGTCTACAAGAGCAAGTTCCAGGACAGGCACCAAAAACTACAGAGAAACCCTGTCTCGAAAATAAAATTAAAAAAAAAATAAAAGAAAAGAAACTGAAATTTGTGGCAACCTATTCAGTGTTACACAAAATAAATATTAGTGTTCTTTTCTTTAGAATCCTTTTTAATTCTGCTTTAACTCTAATTGGCAGAGTTGAGGACTTTTGGCCTTCCTGTTGCTTGAAGTCATTGAGGCGCTAGCTACCTTAGTTTTCCCTTTGTTTCTGAATCATTTGTTAAGAGTGTTATTGAGAAGAAAGCTTCTAGCTAGGCAAACCAAAGGTATGTCTGGATCCTTGAGAGTGAAGCTTGGCTTCTTGGTGCTGTTTCCTCCAAACCCTATCTCCGTGCTGGTATTTTCTGATATCTGGATACTTACGAAGGGCAACAAATACAAAATGTTGTTCTGAACACCCTGAAGTTTGAAGTTCGTCATGTACTGGCCTGGAATTTAGATGAGGAATCCCTAATTCAAAGAGTTCAAGGGCTAGAGGGGTGGCTCAGAAAAGGTCTGGTTCTGGTTGCTAACATCCACATGGTAGTTCACAGCCATCTGAAACTCCACTTCGAAGGGATCTGAGTCTCTCTTAACCACCATGGGCACCAGAAGCACGAGCAGTGCATATATACATGTAGCCAAAATGCGTATTAAATTTAAAAATCTTAAGACAGCATATGTTTGAAGAGTTACTTACAGTAGTGGTTGACCCCAAATTGTCCTCATTACCAAAGGCTGAACCCAGCATAGATAACAGCTTTCTCAAAGCTGCATAAGATTCTCCTTTTCATGCTCTTTAAATTGGTATATCTGGGAAAGAATTACAGCTGGCAGGAATGCACTGGAAGGAATGACTGAGGTCTCAGGTGTGTATCTCCTGACCTCCCACCCCCTCTTCCTTTTAGGATGACTGTTAAGTCTGAAGTTAGGGTGCTCACAAGTGTTTGCAGTTGCTTCTGATTATGATGGTGATAGCAGGTAGACTTCCAGAACACCTTGATGTTATCATGTACTCCATGTGCACACCCACACTTTGTATTTGAACTGGGGTATAGTCAGCAGTTGAGTGCCCTAGATTTTGACTCCCGGTACCATCAGGAATTAGAGCTGGGCATGATGGCACACACACTTGGGAGGCTGTGTCAGAAGAATCACAAATTCCAGGCCAGCCTGAATTATTAAGGAAAGGTGAATGTCAAGATGGGTAGATGCAGCCAAACCTGCTGAGTAATTTAATCCCACATGGTAGTAGAGAACAAACTCTTGCAAGTTGTCCTTTAACCTCCATATGTGTGATAGTCTGTAAGCATCCACATAACACAATAACTAGTTAGGTGTAATACTTTTCTGAGTTAGAAGGGGAAAGTGAAAAGAGCAGAGTGAGTGAGTTTGGCTAAGGGAGAAGATAACTTCTGTTGAAGTAGCTCTCTAGAAGTTCTATATTTATTTTTTCCCCTGGAGACAGGGTTTCTGTGTGTTCCCTGGCTTGTCTTAGAACTCAGTGTGTAGACCAGGTTGGTTTTGAATTCACAGAGATCTTCCTGCCTCTGCCTCCAGAGTGCTGGGGTTAAAGACGTGCTCTGTGAAAAATTCAAATTTAGCCTGGCGATGGTGGCGCACGCCTTTAATCCAAGCACTCGGGAGGCAGAGGCAGGCGGATCTCTGTGAGTTCGAGACCAGCCTGGTCTACAGAGCTAGTTCCAGGACAGGCTCCAAAGCCACAGAGAAACCCTGTCTCGAAAAACCAAAAAAAAAAAAAAATTCAAATTTAAATGCAGGTGGTTCTTTGGGACCAGCCTGGGCTTCAGAGCCAGGACCAGGACAGCCAAAAAACTCAAAACTGCAAACAGCCAAGCAGTGGTGGCACATACCTTTAATATCACCGCTTGCGAGGCCAAGGCAGGTGAGTCCAAGGTCAGCCTGGTCTACAGGGTGAGTTCCAGGACAGCCAGGGCTACACAGAGAAACTCTGACTGGTGGGGCGAGGGGAGGGCTGCAAAGAAGCAACTGCTTTGTAAGTGACAGAATCGTCCCCTTTACATGACATGTATGTAACATTTCTGAAGTCAGGCCTTGGTCACCACTGTTTGCCCTGGTTTTTCCAGTGAAGCAGAGACCATCTCACTAATGTATGTCTATGGAGGTTTTAGGACAGCTTGGTAGAGTTGGCTCTTTCTCCTACCTATACATGGGTTCATGGGATTGAACTCAAGTCACCAGCCTTGCACTGCAGACACCTTTACCCACTGAGCCATCTCACTGGCTCCCTAATTTCTTTAGGACTGAGTATTTAGAGCCACACCTGTTTGACAGTTATGCTAGAAAGGTAGGGAGAAGGAGAAGCCTTAAAGTGCTACCACGTTAGTCTGGCGATTGTGCCGCACCTTTAATTCCAGCACTCGGGAGGCAGAGGGAGGTGGATCTCTGAGTTTGAGGTTAGCCTGGTATACAAGAGCTAGTTTCAGGACAGGCTTCAAAGCTAGAGAAACCCTGTCTCAAAAAAAAAAAAAAAAAAAAAAGTGGAGACTACAAGGGATGGATCCTCTTTCCGTCATCTTGCCTGAAGTCATTTTTGCTCCTCGTTTACAAGGAGAATCTTTTCTCTCCCACCAGGTATTTGTGTTGAGTAAGGGTGGGATCTTTGCCCTTGGTCATATGTCTGTAGTCTCCTAGTGTTCTGTGCTTTTTGTTTACTTGTGAGTGAGAAGCCAAACTTTATTTTCATGTATCCCAGGCTAACCTTGAACTTCTGATCCTCCTATTTCAACCTCCCAAGTGCCAGGTATTTAGTGCTGGTGTTTGAACTCAGGGCCTCATGCATGCTAGGCAGCCTCACCTCCTGTCTAAAACTCTTTAAGGACCTGAGGTTTAGATGATTTTTTTTTTTTTTTTTTTTTTTTTTTTTTTTGAGCCAGGGTTTTACTAGCCTTGACCTGGAACTCACTAAATAAACCAGTCTGGCCTCATTCATAGCGATTTGCCTGCCTCTGCCTCCCAGTTGCTGGGCTTATAGGCATGTGCTACCACATCTGTCACTTACGTCAGAGTTCTTGAGTCTCTTCTAATAGAAACTATAGATTATTAAAGCTTTGTTCAACTACTGAGTAGAAGAGTTTTCTGCCTCATTATCATCATCATTATTATTGTTATTTTGATTTTTTTTGAGACAAGGTCTCACTATGTAGCCCTGGCTGTTCTGGAACTCATGTAGACCAGGCTAGCCTCACAGAGATCCACCTACCCCTGCCTTCTGACAGATCTAAAATCATGCGCCACTAGGCCTGGCCTCTTCCTCCATTTGAAATTTTCAATTCTGCTAATTGCTGGGAGTATATATCAGCATCCCATATAGTTTTCACAATTGACAGTGTGAGGCTAGGATTATTACTAATAGATAGCATGCCACATTATACGATGCTAGTCGAACCTTCTTCCAGGTGGAGTGGTTTAGAGGATGACAGCATTGAAGAGCTAAAGCCCAAGTTGAAAGGCCCCTGCTTCACTGTTGTGTGCCGACTCTTGTAATTTGAGTAGTAACAAAATCGATCAGTTTCCTGAAAGGTGCTCCCAACCTTGGGGCTTTAGAATTCATGCTTCTGACTTTGCTTCTAGATTCCCGAAGTTAAAAGATTTGAATTCTTACAACTCTGTAGACTCAAAAATACTCTTGCATGGCCAGATTAATAGTCATTGCATGCTAACGCTAGCCCACATCTGATGAATATTTAATAGCGTCTGCCAGGCAGGCTGGAAACAGCTGTATGAGACAGCAGCTGTTGGGGGGAAGGGAAGAACTGCACTGCACCGCCTAATTACCCATTCTTTTGTTTCCAGGCTCATAGAGAAACCTGTCTTTCCTAGGCCGTTCAGCAGCAAGGTGTTGTGGTGGTTAACACTGCATTCTGGACCAGTTGGGGGCAATTAACAATTTTCCATACCCTGAACTGATGAAGTCTTCTTTAGTATTTAGAGTCAAGTATACATTCTCATCCAGCACTTTGCTAGCTGCATCTCTCCTACAGGAGAAAGGCTTTTTGTGCTATCTTAACAGCTGTAATCCCTAGCACTCACCAGACAGAGCAAGAGACGAAAGGCCAACATTTACTACATAGCAGGACCCTGTCTATATATAGACAGATACACTAACAGACTTGAATTTCATAGGTAGGAAGAGTGTAAATAAATAGCCAGGCATGGTAGTACATGCCTGTGATCCCAGCACTCAAGAGATAGAGGCAGTAGATCAAACAGTCAAGGGTTGCCTTCATTATGTAGGTAATTTAAGTTCAGCCTAGGCTGCAGAATGAGACCTTGTTTTAAACAAATTTTCCCCTGGAAAAATCCATAGTCTTGGCTTCTAGTCTGAAAAGCAAATTCCAGGACAGCCAGGACTGTTAAACAAAGAAACCCTGTCACAAGAAAAACAAGAAAAGCCGGGCGGTGGTGGCGCACGCTTTTAATCCCAGTACTCGGGAGGCAAAGGCAGGCGGATCTCTGAGTTCGAGACCAGCCTGGTCTACAAGAGCTAGTTCCAGGACATGCTCCAAAACCACAGAGAAACCCTGTCTCAAAAAAACAAAAAACAAAAACAAAAAAAAAAAAAACAAGAAAAAGGAAAAAGCAGTAGCTGGGCTGGAGAGGTAGCTCAGCTTTGGTTTCCAGCAGTCATGTGCACCAGCTCGCAGCCACTTAACAGCTCTGACACTGGGGAATTCCATGTCTCTGACCTCCAAAAACATCTGCTCTCGGGAGCATGTGCACCCTCACATATACATATAATTTTAAAAATATTGAGGACTTTTTCATAACATCAGGTCCCTGCCCTGTGTCCTCTGTGGCTGATCCTGGGTTTCAGGGACAGGGTTGAACTCGTCCATGAGGCAGATGAGATGGACTCTTGGACCTAAAGTTGAACTTTCTCTTTTTCTTCCAAGAGTTTTAAAATCAGCTTTTTCTTTTTGAGGGGGTGGGGTGGGGAGTTAAGGCAGGGTTTCTCTTTTACTTTGGAGCTTATCTTGGAACTTGCTGTGTAGACCAGGCTGGCTTCAAACTCAGAGATCCGCCTGCCTCTGCTTCCCAAGTGCTGAGATTAAAGGTGTGCGCCACCACCAGCCAAATTCAAGCTTTTTCATGTCAAGGGAACCAAAGCATTTTCCTATTTAGAAAGCTGGAAATGTTGGAGCGTGGTAGAGCATGTATAACCTAAATCTCAGCACTATGGAGATAGAAACATACATATCTCTGAGTTCAAGGCCAAGCCTGTTGTTCTACGTAGTGAGGTCCCAGTTGGGGACTCTGTCAAAAATAAATAAACATGAAAGCAAAGTTAAGGCCTCAGAGGTTTAGTTCATTTTTCTCCAGATCACTCTGCTTACTCATATTCAAGGCTTAAGACATTACCTGACTGGCTGGAGGGATGCTCACCTGTTAAGAGCACTTCCAGAGATCGTGAGTTCAATTTCTAGCACCCATATGGCAGCCCACAGTCATCTATAACTGTAGTCCCATGGGATCCGATGCCCTCATCTGATGTGCAAATTTACTCGTATAAATAAATAGTATTTAGACAAATCACTCGTATACATAAATAGATAAATCTTAAAAAGAAAGCTCACAGGGACTGTGTATTTTTGTCTTCTGCCCATCTGTGTGCACCTAGGAACCTGCCTGCTGAATGCAACAACTGGAGTTGAGCTACGGAAATGGATGATTGTAAGGGACGAAGCCAGACCAGATGAAGGCTGAGAAAAACCCCCATCAGCCTCAAGTTTCTTAATTTTCCACTTTGTGTCTTTACAGTGTCAGAGGACCCTGAATACCAGGAGCTACCCGCTGTATCAAGGCTGGCCTGGGCATTTGCTGAAACATAGAAACTGAAGAGAGGAGATCAACAATTGTTTCACCCTACCTCTTGATCTGATTTACTCACAGAAAACGAGCCAGGATCTTAGGTGTCTTTAGGCCCAGAATGGAGTCCTCAGGGCTTCTGAAGACTCATTGCTAACAATTCCTCCTCAAAACATTTTAGTAAGAGGGGCTGGGGCTGTATTCAGTAGTTGAATATTTCACTAGCATATATGGAAGACCTGAGTTCATTTTTCATCACCTCAAAAACATTTTTAAAAGGCTTTTAAAGAATTGAGATGGAGCCAGGCATGGTGGCATACACCTTTAATTCCCAAACTCAGGAAGCAAAGGCAGGCACATCCCTGAAGCCAGCCTGGTCTGCAGAGCAAGTTAACAAGATAGCCAGGACTACATAGAAAAACAAGATTTTTCTATGTAGGGTGGGAAACAACAAAAAAGGACTGAATCTCTGACATGTCCCTCCAGGTCGAAACACACTCGGCTCCTTATGCCACCTATGCACCTTACTGCTTCGTGTGTCCCTGTCCTGTCCCGTGTCATGCCCACCACCCCTCATACATACACACACCACACAGGTTTGTTGGAACCTTCAGCCTGGGAGCCCTTAGACATTTCTAGAGGACTCCCAGGCAAGATAGTCGCTGCCTCTGAAACATTTTAAGGAAAGTCAAGAATCATTTACTTTGGACAAATTGATCAAATTCTGAGCCTTATCTATCCTTTGTTGTTAGAACTTGTCCAAGAAGTTCTTGAAGGATGGGGCTGTTCTGCTTCACCTTTGTATGACATTTCTCAAGTATCTGTCCCTGCATGAGGAGTTCAATAAAGGTTTGGTCAAGTGATGATTGGTGAATGGTTCTGATCAGCTTTGGGAGAGAGCCAAGGCCCCTTTTCCTGGGCAAGCGTTTTGTCCTAATGTTTTCTCTTGAGAGATTGGCAGGTCATCCACAATTTCCAGGTACCAAGATAGCCACTTGGAAGTCACAGAATTTTACAGCAAAGTTCAGAACTGAAGTCAAACATCTGGATTCAGATTTCAGCTCATCACTTGTGTATTATTCAGGGCCTGTTAATTCCATCAGTAATTCTTCCCCACGTCATAGGATCTGAGAAACATTTATAATGCCCAGTACTGGGTCTGTACAGAACACTGCTCGCACTTAAGATGCTGTCTTCCTTTCTTCCAGGTTTATTCTTAGAAGTCCAGTCACACAGCTTCCACCTTTCTCCCATTACCACTTAGTGCCCTAGGGATCTTTTTTGAGAGCTCTGACTTAGGGAGTTGGGCCCAACTACCCAGCTGCCATGCTCTTCAGGCACCTGCAAGCTGAGAAGGATGACATCAGCTTTCCCCAAGCCGCTGGATGCTCTGAGCCATAAATATTTTAGAAGGGCCTTTCTCTAGCTGTTGTCAGGGTGATGGACTCTCCGGGGTCTGGGGTGGGAGTGTTGGGTTTGTACTGACTCCGGAAGGGTGGGTACGAGGCCTGACCAAGAGCCAGGACGGCTCCAAAGGCCCCTGCTCTGCCTGCAAGCCGCCCCTTTCTTGAGTGCTTTAGTCGTGGTGTAGCTTCCAGGCCCTTCCTGGTCTTGGATGCTGTTTAAGCTTTGGTAAGTTGAATTTTCTTGGGCCTTTGTTTTGACATTTCTGGGGATAGGAGATCTCTGTCTTAGTGCAGGTAAGTTGAAAACAAATTAGAAATATTCTAAGTCTAATGCTGTGCTTTGCTAGTAAAACATGTGGAGAAACTAAACCACGATGCTGCTTTTTGATTTGTGTGGTGAGGAAGGGAAGACGAGGTCTAACTAGTCCAGCCTGGCTTCAGACTTGCCACAGCCTTGGAATTTCTGGCATACATTACCACACCTGTCTCCCAATGCCCTTTCTGATCTAGAGGCTGGAACCCTAATGCCTCATGCATACTGTTCCCACACAGTGGTATTTTTTCTCTCCCCTTCACACAGTAATCTCAGCTGTGTTTTATGTTGAAAACAGGGTTCAGGCTGGCCTTGAATCCTGGCTCTGGCTCCAGCTTTTTACTTACTAATAATCTTTAGTATTTTGAGACAGGGTCTCCTTATGTAGGCCTGGCCTACCCTAGATCTTTTTTTTTAATATTTATTTATTATGTATATAATATTCTGTCTGTGTGTATGTCTGCAGGCCAGAAGAGGGCACCAGACCTCATTACAGATGGTTGTGAGCCACCATGTGGTTGCTGGGAATTGAACTCAGGACCTTTGGAAGAGCAAGCAATGCTCTTAACCACTGAGCCCCCCTACCCTAGATCTTAAACTCAAGAGATTGGTCTGCATCTGCCTCTCAATTGCTGGGATCATAGGTGTACACCACCATAGTCTTCCCAAGCTCCTTTTTTGAAGGTTCTCAGGTTGGAACCTTCAGCCTGGGAGTCCTTAGACATTTCCAGAGGACTCCCAGGACAGATAGTCGCTACCTGTGTAACATGCTAAAGAAAGTCAAGAATCATTTACTTTGGGCAAGTTGTTTCAAATTCTGAGCCTTATCCTCTGGATATGTAGACTGTTTGGATGGCACAGGGTATCCTAGTTGTGCCTAGTGATTTAGAAGCAGGGCTCATGGGCGTTGGGGCTTATGATACAAAAATCTACCACCTCCCACAGACATAGCTTTTAAGCCTTACATCTTCCTGGTTGTCACACTGTAACATTTCCCAACTCCTCAGCAGTGTCCGAGAAGGAAGCAAGACAGCACTTGGGTCAGAGCTGCTTTTCTTCCCTGTTGCTTTGCAAACTATTTCTTTGTACTTGGCTCCCTCTGGTGGGATGATCATGGTGGGGAAGTAAGGTCAGCTATGAGACTGACATTCAGACCATTCTGAAGGGACCAAGCTAGGGGAGAAAATCTGAGCTTGATGACAGCCACTGCATTCCTCATATACTGTGTCTCAACTATCTGCTCTCCTTTAAAACTCACAAGCGTAGCTGGGCGGTGGTGGCGCGCGCCTTTAATCCCAAGCGCTAGTTCCAGGACAGGCTCCAAAACAACAGAGAAACCCTGTCTCGAAAAACCAAAAAAAAAAAACCACGAGCGTGACTAGGAATTAATCCTGACTTTCCAATTAAGACAGGTTCAAAGACATGGACTTAAACTGAAATTCCTTGCAGCATTTAGGATCTTCTATCAATGTTTTCCTAGCTTCAATTTCTTTGTTTTCCATTGCTGTAAAAATATCCTGACAAAAGCAACTTGGGAGGGAACGGGTCAATTTTCTCTCAGTTCCAGATTGTAGGCAACTGGGAAGTCAAGGCATCAGGAAGCTAAAGCAGCTGATTTTATCCAGTCAAGAACAGAGAACATGGGTGCTCATATTCATTTTCTCTTCAGTTCAGGACCCGCAAATCCAAGGAATGAGTCCTCCCACTTTAGATAACATAATACAATCACTGCAGGCCAACCTAATCTAGAAAATGCCTCATTGAGACTCTTCCCCAGTTATTCCAGATGGTGTGTCAAGTTGACAAATCACAATTCTCAAGTAGGGATGCTGGGATGCTTTGGTTGCCAGGCACTTGCCCACTGGAACTGCAAGCATATTGACTCAATCACAAATGAACGGAGTGAGGAAGGCTAACTCCCCAAGGAGAATCGGTTTTATTGGGAGATGGGATGGATGTGGAGAAGGCAGTCATACAAAGTGGGTTGGAACTGAGTTGCCCTTGCTCTCCTACACTGAGTTGTATGTATGCCAAGTCAATTCAGTAAATAGTTCCTGAGAATTCACTTCTGCAGGGGCATCTATATTACACATTCATAGACATTTTCCTACCAACTCCACAGACAGTTACCAAATTCAAGCAATTGCTTCATCCCCCATGGGATGAAGCACACTTTAAACAAACAAAAATGGTAGTGCTAGAGATGAATTTCAGGGCCTTATGTACAACAGGCAGACACTAGACCATTGAACAAAACTCTTGAGAAATAGCAAATGTATTCCTCAGCCAGATGAATGCGCATGCCTTTAATCCCAGCACTTGGGAGGCAGAGATAGGTGGATCTCTGAGGCCAGCCTGGTCTATAAGAGCTTGTTTCCCCCATTAGGAAGTAGCAAATTGTCATCTCCGTGTCCTCAGGATATAACTAAAAATGTTGCCAGATGCTTCACCTATTTTTCCAGATATGGCCTGGCTTCAGTGTATGCATGCATGAGGATAGGATCAGATCCTTTAGAACAGGAGTACAGGCAGCTGAGAGCTGCCATGTAGGTGCTGGGAATTGAGTCTGGGTCCTCCAGAACAGCAAGTTGTGCTAACCAGTGAGCCGTCTCTGGTTCCTCTTATTAAAGGTTAACTTGGAGACTGGGGGGTGTGTGAGCATGAGTGCTGGTACCCTCAGAGACAGGCTCTCCTGTATCCTAGTTGGGTTTCTGTTGCTATGATAAGCAACATGAGCAAAAGGAGTGTGGAGAGGAAAGGGTGTATTTCAGCTTACAGCTGTAGTCCATGAAGGGAAGTCAGAGCAGGAACTTGGAGACAGGAACTGAAGCAGAGGTCATGAAGGAGTAATTACTGGCGTGTCCCTGATGGTTTGATCAGTTTGCGTTCTTACACATCCCAGGACCACCTGTGGTATCACCCACAGTGGGCTGGACCCTCCCACATCAATCATTAAGAAAACACCCCATATACTTGTCTCTTGGCCAATTTGATGGATGCAATTATCAGTCTCTCATAGATGTCCCTGGCTTGTGTCAATTGACAAGTGTACATTGAGATGCTGGAGTTAGGGTCTTCTGTAAAAACAATATATACTCTTAACCCACTGAGCCGTTTCTCCATCCCTCTTCTTACTACTTTTTTTTTTTTTTTTTAAAGAACCTCTGGAAGGGCAGCCAGTGCTCTTAGTCCCTGAGCCATCTCTCAAGCCCTCTTGTTATTTGTTGTTGTCTTGCTTTTACCCTGACACAGGGTGTAACAACCCTAGCTGTCCTGGAACTCATTCTATAGACTAGGCTGACCTCAAACTCACAGAGATCTGCCTGCCTCTGCTTCCCGAGTGCTGGGATTAAAGGCATGTGCCACCACTGCCTACCCGGTTGTTACTTCTTAAACATAACAGAGTGCCCTTGCACTCTGTCTAGAATCTTCCCCTCTCCCCAGAACTTTGTTTTATGACTTCCTTCCCCTGTTATGTGCTTCCCCAAACATAATGATGGCTCACATTTCAGGGAAGCCTGCTTTGCCCATCCTATTTGAACTGGCACCCCAAAGCTCTTTCCTGTTTTTCCTTTCTTCCAACGTTTCCTTCAAACATACTACAGAATCTAGTAACTTTATGTCTACCTGCCTCCATAATCTAAAATGTAGAAATCTATTAATATCTTCCAATTGTTTGATTAATCTGTGCTAAGCAATGATGTCACAAGATGATTAAAATTGCTTATGAGGCTGGGAAGGTAGCTCAGTGGTAGAACAATTGCCTAGGATGTGTGAGGCCCAAGTTTCAATCCCCTTCACCCCCACCCCATAGACTGCCTATCAGTCTTGCAAGGGAAGAAATCACAGTAACGGTAGCTGTCACTACTTTATAGACTTCCTTCCCCTGTTAAATATTTGCCAAGCAAAACGATTGCTAACACTGATTAAAACAGGTACTATGTGGATTACCTCATTTAATCTTCAACGCCTGTCAAAGAGTGCTTACATTAGGTTTGATTTCCAACTCTGCATAAGCCTATCGTAGTGTGAGTAATAATCCCGACACTCTGGAGGAGGAGGCGGAAGGGTCAGAAATTCAGGGTCATCTTCCAATCCTTAGCAAGTTGAAGGTCAGCCTGGATAAGAGTCCCTGTCTCAAAAC